TCGATTCAGGGGCATGGACTTTCAATATGTAATGGGCATTCTGATCTAGAGTCGGATGAGGCATTCATCAAGAATTTTCTTGCACTTTTAAGCACATCATCTTGTTTGAACTTGTTTTTTCTTTCGTACTTCTTATGAGGGAACGTTTTTAAGTCACTTGACATTTAAACATTTTAAATAAAATGCTTCCTTCTTAGGAAATTAGCAAATTTTAATCTTGAATTCCTAGAATATCACATTAATTAAAAGATGTTTAATAATTGAGATTGTAAATCTTTGATAAACGATAAGATTGAACCCTGTAACATAAAGACCCCTTGGTCCTAATTTAAAAGATACATCAGAATACATGTGTTTCTCTTACCGAACTAGTTTTCTCTTCTCATGAAGAGTTCATCAAATGTTTGGTATTCAGGTATGTGTCAGGAGCGAACAGAATGGGGAAACTAGCACATGAGATTGCAAAACTAATTGGTTTATACTTTTGTTTAAGACGTTCAATGATGATCATGATCTTCTCAGATGGAATGGTCAAGTAGGTGAATCTAGTTTAGGTCAGTTGCTTGGGAATTGAACTCTAACGATGAGATTTTCTGACCTTCAAAAACACCTAGACTATAACATGTTCTTCTTAACAAACTTAAGAAATTTGACCCGTATACCCAGATTCTAATATTATACTATATAATAAAGCTTGAGTTGTCCCTCTAAGGCAATTGGTTAAACTCCCCGGCTTTATGGATAAGATTCAACTAACCTGATAAAGGTCTTTACATATTGAGTTGTCCCTCTAGAGCAATTGGTAAAATGCCCCGGCTTTATGGATCCAGCTTTCCATTTAACTTAAATAAGGAGTTTCGGTAAAAATGGACTAAGGGAGTTAAGGAACACTTGTTAGAGTCAAATACACACGAGCACTCAATAATATCATTTTTAGACCTATATTTCCGCACTACCTTTGTTAGAGGAGCTTACAAAACTTGAACAAATGGAAGATTTCAGAGAACTGAAACAGAAGTATTCTGAAAGGTCTAGCCATTGATTGTGCTAGTTGTGTCATTTTGTTCGCCTCCGATCAAAATGTCAAATCAAGAAAAAGGGTATGCCATGATCTTCACGATGACCGAATCGATGAAACAAACCTTAATAACCCACCTCTCAACCAACTTTTCGATCTTGATATTTGTCAAAGGTTTGCAACTATCAAAGATTAAAAGAGCATTTGATTCTTTTGATATCCAATGAACTCCGGTTTTATGATTTGCTTCAATTGTGAAACCTATAAGGAGGCAATATTTCTCAAAACTCCTTTTGATATTTTTCAAAATTTTGAAAATTCAAAGAAAAAAAGCACTTTTAAACAAGATGAGTTCTCTGGAAGCATGTCTTGGAAATCAACGAATATTTCTCCGAAGCTCAAGATTGAAACTGGGGCAGGAGAAGCCAAATTTTTGGGGCAAAATTTGTTGGAGCAAAGAAAATAAATTGTCTTAGGTTGAGGTTTGCAAGAGTACACCCTGGTAGAAATGAAGACAAACTGAGAGAATGAAGATTGCTCACACAATTATTCCCTTCACCGATCAACATTATGTTTTAAGCATATTGAAGAATCCAATATCAAGAATCAGAAATTCAAGATTCCAGCATCAAGAGACATCAAGACTGACAACCACTGATTGAGATTTCTATCCAAACCCTAAAATAACATGTTTTGAATATACATTTTAGGCATACATAAGAGCATCACATCCATAGCATCGCATATGTGCATAATTTTGCAGATTCATGCTAGAGTCAATTTCAACTTCACAATGGAGGATATTGAACTCAAAAGAAGTGTAATTTACAAGTGTGGATCTGAACTTCACAACGAAGAACATCCAATTAAAAGCTCAAAAAAGAAGGATATTGGGCCTGATAAAGTGATTTAGTGTCACAACAAACATGCCATCTGCAGATTTGACTTCCTTAAGTCAACGATTAAAGCTTCTGAAAGGATTTCTTTAACATGTATGAATAGCATATTATCGATCACTATTAAGATTGTTTCTCTCGATACAAGGGGTCGCCTCGCTCAAGACTAATTTACTCAAAACAAAGTTTTGTCTCTCTTGAGACGGTTTCTCTTAAAACAAATTTTGTCTCTCTTGAAACATTTTCTCTTAAAACAAATTTTGTCTCTCTTGAGACATTTTCTCTTAAAACAAATTTTGTCTCTCTTGAGACAGTTTCCCTTGAAACAAATTTCGTATCCCTTGAGACAGTTTCTTTTAAAACAAATTTTGTCTCTCTTGAGACATTTTCTCTTAACAAATTTTGTCTCTCTTGAGACAGTTTCCCTTGAAACAAAATCTTTGAATCTATTTCCTTTGAAACAAATTTTGTCTCTATTGAGACAGTTTCCCTTTAAACAAAATCTTTTAATTTGTTTTCCTTTAAACAAATTTCGTCTCTCTCGAGACAGTTTCTCTTGAAAAATTTTGTCTCCCTTGAGACGATTTCTTTTGAAACACAAAATCTTTGAAATTATTTTCCTTAAAACAAAATTTTGTTTACCTTGAGATCGTTTCTCATGAAACAACAAATATCTTTGAGATCGTTTCCCTTGAAACGAATTCTCTCTCTTTTGAGATAACTTCTCTTGAAGCATCATTTGAATCATGTCATTCAAATCAGAGGAAAAATCAAATTTGCAACATAGCTCAAGGTAAGAAGGGTTATTTATCAAAACTGACGAGTTCGATTCTATTCAGCTCGATGCCGCATCAACAACATAGAGGAGTCCAGGAACTACTTTCTAATACTCTGAGTTCTATTTTAACTTCATGACGAATGATTTCGTGCTCAGAGTTTTCCAGTTTTGACTCAACCTTATGACGAGGGAGTCATTTCGTGATTTAAATTGACAAACCGGTTTCAAAATCAGATTTCAACTCTACAACATAAGACATTCGATTTGGCCGAAATTTGCGTCTTTTAATCTTTGCTCTATTTTTGTTACACGATAATGAGCAAAGAGGGGCAGCTGAAGACACTTAATTTCGACCGTAGAAATTATAAAATGTAATATTATTATATTATAAATATAATACATTTACATTTTGTTTTTCCCTACAGGTCCAAATGGCCCAGCAAATGAAACACGTGGCCTAACATCTCAGCAGCCCGTTTGGCAGACCCAAACTACACAAACCCACGTGTGCATCCCAGTAGCAAACCCTAGCACGCCGCTTGTTCGAAGCCCCCATCTCGCACGTCTCTCCTCGTATGAGTTTCCAGCCGCTCAACAAGCTCGGTTCTCTCGGTGCAACAACCACCAATCCCGTAAACTCCGGCGCAAGGGAAGCACACAAGGCCATCAGCAAACAAGAAAATTAGTATTTCACTAGGAGTTAAGCTCCTAAAAAAAGGATTATAAATAAGACCTGTAAACAACACATATTTTTACATGGAATATACACAGATTACACACGAATATTGCACACAAAATACCAGAAAAGATCGAGAGAGATACAAGCAAACCAAGTGTATTCGAAGCATTATTTTTAAATTTTCGAAAGCAATAAAGGTAAAAAAATCTCACCTTTTTTCATTTTGAGGATTGCATGTTGTCTTCTTTGAGTGTACGACCCAACCGTCGATGAAAGGAGGGGTGGTGGTCGAAACATTTTTCATAGATCTACGCATTTTCGAGGTGTTTTTTAAAAAAAAAAAACCTAGTTTTCGAATAGTGGATAAAAGCATCTTTTTAAAAATAATTTTTTTCGTGCTTCACCGCCAATGAACGACGGCCGATGCCGTTCAACGGCGGTCGATGAGGTGGCGGGACGGTCGGAATCTGGTAATCGCGACATCTGTTCTTCGTGTGGAAGAACATTTCAGAGAAACACTAAGAGAGGGGGGAGTTTTGGTTTAGGAAGAAGAGAAAAGAAGTTTAAAAAAGATTATTTGGCCTTTATACAGAGCCCATGAAACCCGAACCGACCCGTGCGACCCGACCCGTGCGACCCGACCCAGCTGGAAGCGACCCACGTGTTTTCTAAAGAAGAAGGGTAAATCGCGCTTTTGGTTCCCTGTTTTCTGAAACTTCCATTTCACCCCTGATTTGCAATTCTGACACTAATCATTTTTCAAATTCGGCCCCATTTTTAGCTTTTTATTCATATTAGTCCTTTATTCATTATATAAATATTTTATTTGTTTCCTTTTATTATTTGTATTATTGTATATATATATTTTTTATTTTTATATATATAATAAATATATCGTTTTATATATGTATATATATTCTTAAATATTTTTTTAACTTATTATTATGATACATATATTCTTAAATCTTTGTTTGAATTTTCTTATTATATTTTATCAATATATATATGTATATATATATATGTACACTATTAATATTTTATTTACACTCCTTTTGTTATATTAATGGTTTTGTTATTTTATTCACTTTATGTTATATATATGTATATATTTTCATCTTCACTTTATTTATTTAGTTTTTTTTTTCTAATTTTTTATTTACCTTTATTTTATCCATATTTCCTTAATGTTCAGTGTTATTTCATCTGTATGTCCTTTTTTCATCTTTCTATCTTCTTATTATTTTTATTTCCTTTGTCTTTTCTCTATTTCATTTTCATTTTTCTCCTCTCTAACATGCTTCTGAACTTGTTTAAGGATGATTTTAAATCAATCGGAGGTAAGAAATTTGGATCGTCATTTTACCTTTTAATTTTAAATTACAATTTTCTTAATTTAAGACAACTGGAAATTACGTATTACCGAAAGGGCAGTTCAAGGGTGATAATCATTCTTTGACTGTAACCGACTCCCGAATCCGACACATCTTTGGTAAGACGCAGATCATGTAAGAAATAAGATATCCGGTCAACCCATTTTGTTTAAAATAAATGACCGGTGGCGACTCCTAATCCATTTTCCTAAGTCGAAGCCCAATTCCGAGACTCAACCGAATGACGGTTACGATACTACTTTTGGAGGAGCAAATGGGGTCCATTGTTAAAACTGAAAGGTTTGGATTATAAGTTATCCAAATTGCGTTCTCCTATATTGTTTTTTATATGCATATCTAAGCTGAAACCAGGTTTTCAAATAACGTTTCGCAACCGTGATTTTGTCCGCGATATAGTTGTTTCACCGCAGTTTGAGTTAGCCATTACCTGTTACACCCGCAATAACGCCCGTGACGGTCATAATAACGCCCGCGACAGCCATAATCACTGTAAACCCGAAATGAATGAAAACGCTGAAACTGTAATAGAAAAAGTAGAAGCGGTGACGAACACTGTCAAAAAAGTGGCGGAGCAAGTGGAGGAGGTGGCGGATGAAATCGGAAATAATCTGCCAGAAGGCCGACTTAAAGATACCCTTGAAATTGTCGAAGATGTGGCTCAAAATACTGCTGAGGGTGCACGTTTTGCTGGAGAATTCTTTGACCAGGTATTCTTCCCCTCCCCCTATCTCTCTCATTGCAATATAACTAATCCCGTCTCTTAAGTATATTGAATCAATTCCTTCAACAGCAAAAAAAAATATATTGAATTAATTATCAATTACAGGATTACTGACAATATGATCATTTTTATGTTATATGCTAATCCTATATATTATTTAATGTAGCTTTGGCATATGGAAATAAGAGATTTACATACCCAATTTCTTTTAAAAAGGAAAGAAATAAATTTTAGATCTCTCTCGAAATTATAGATCCACCACCGATTGAGAGGTTGTAGACGCTTTATCCAGCAGGCCGGCCGAGAGTGAAGATGGGGTTAGAGAAGGATATAAAGGTCATTTTGTTTTTTTTCATTTTTGTTTTTTTTTGAAAGGAGAGGTCATTTTGTGCAACTAGTTAATAAAGGTCGAATGTAGCAGAGGAACATTTAAGCAAGGTGCTTTGATAAATGTCTTTTGGTCATAGGTCTGACATGAAAGAATGAATGATATGTATATCTCATCAACGAGTATCTCTGAAACAACTTGAAAACAAAATACATTATTTTTTCACTAACCCCAAAACCAATTGGAACCCACTTGGCCTAACTTTATTTAGATATTATTTAAAGCAGTTTATTAGTTTGTAAAAAAAATTATAATTATTTTAACACGAGAAAATAAATGGAATGTCAAGTGAAAATTTTCCACCATTGGTTTTACAAGTTAAAGATTGTGCCCCTATGGAGCCCCCACGTTCATGGATCCCTACCACTCCAACAAACTAACATGGACATCACTGCCCCTTATTTCATTTGAATTTTCAGAACATCATCATACATACAAGATATATACATGAAAAATTTCAAATGAACCACCCTTGTCAACAAGTTTTTTCCAAACAGAACATCTGAATTCACAGAGTTATTTCTCAAGTCCAATTTACCTGCACTTGTCCAGGTCATATTCTACAGCTGGCAGCTGAAATTACACGCATGAAGTCATCAAATCAATGGATGGCATGAAAATGCCAAAGAAAAACAACTATGGTTGAAGATCAAACAAGAGAACCCTATTGTTCTCTGATACTTGCACTCAGATTTCAGTATCAAACACGGATATGTATACGATGTAGGTATGTTCAATTTTTAAGTGTTTTCATATGCTTGGAAGGCCATTGGTGGGTCATATCTCTATACCTATGTTCATATTTATGTTAGGCTGCTGTTTATGCATTTCTTAAAGTGCAAAGACAGCATGCAATCGTAAGTATGAAAAGAAGGGTAATTGTCGTTCAAATCTAGAGTGCTCACCGCAGTAAACAAACTGGTTCAGATCAAGAGTAACCCTGCCTTGTTTTCCAGTGTCGAATGCATTAAACATATTTCTGCACCGACAACAATTACAATCCGCAAAGGAGTGAGGGAAAGAAAGGAGATTTATATATCCTGTCTCAGAAATTGACTTATAAATATGATTATATGAAGACTCTATGTCAAGCACCTTCAATTGAAGTGAATTCAATCATGTACGTTCCAATATGAATGGTATGCGAGTATGTGTGTTTATTTCATGTCTGCATTGCGTACATCTTACAATAAAAAAAAATTGACAAGACATTCCAGATGTTCCTGACAAACCATATGAGGATACTATTTTTGCACAATTTTACACACTAATATTATTCGATCTGCAAGACACATGCATGATATTCAACAGTCAACACGCAGTTCAGCAGATATTAGAGATACTTTACCGAGCAGACTGCAGAAATATACAAAGCGATATGAAGTCATCAAGCTGCAATCTCCCATTCTTTTTCTGATCAAAGCTCTGCCAAGAAAGTAAAGAAATAAAAATGGATGGACATTGTATCCAGCGTATAGTAAAAAGCGTAACTAAATTCAGTTAATGCCAAGCAAGCCAAGATGGGCAAATCAAAAATTTTGATGAGAAAACCATAGGCACTAAATCCATACTAAAACAGAAACTAATGAAATTAGAAATCTTGAACAGGTTTGGAAGGGGAATCCTAAATACACATTTAACTAGAAAATTAGGAAATCACAGAATCCTCAATCAACATCAAAAAGATTGATATTGATAATGCTTTCGAACAGTACAGTGCGTGTGGTGCAAAGAGTATGACCGGAATCTGGAAGAGGATGACGAACAGAATAAGAATCCACCATAAATTGGCGAAGCGAAAGGGGGGCAGGCAGTGGCCTTGGACCCCCTTGGCTCTTCCAAACACACTAGATGTTTTATTATTCTCTTATTAAAAATGATAAAAATCTATGTTGGCCCCCAAGACTCATTATTTAATATTGATTCCTGGCACCTCCAACATAAAAATTAACTTTACTCCTGATCATAGAGCTAATAGTCTCATTTGAACATACAAGAAATAAAGAATGTAATATACACTTACATCTATGAAAATAGATTTTACTTGACATTCTACAAATTCTAGTGGAAACAAGCTACGGTCATGAAACTTTATTACCATGTTCTGCTACATAATATCACCCTCACACTTGTAACTTTATGTCCAATTATATAGGCTTTACCTCACATACTGTGTAGAACGCAGGAGAATCCAAAGAAAACCCAATTTTGTTTAATGCCTGCAACAATGTAGTGATATCATAACCAGAACAACTGGGATGATAACAGAAGCAGAAATGAAAGGGAGATAAAAAAAAATTGACGCAAATTGAACTCAGAGAAAATCAGCGTGACCCAAATAAATGAAAAAGAAATATCTATTCAAAGTCTAAAGTTGCCAAATTTGATGGGCGGTATAAGTTTTAAAAGACACTTTGCTTGAACATACCTCGTAAACATCATCAATTACAAGGAATCCACGATTCCTGTAACGTGAACAATAAAGTATGCTTTTAGTTCTGATTGAAGCAAATAGAAAATGGGTGGGTGCACACAGCACGTCTTAACTTGCTGATACATTAAAATGAATGTTTGGAATTGAATAAGACTCCGTTTAGTTAGAAATTGTCAATTGTCATTTGTTACCCCCACAAATTGTCGTCTTAAGCATCAAATGGTTAAACCCTTCAATCACTAAAAGCAGTATCTAACAAATATGAATTTATCCTAGAATCTATGTTACTTTGAATCGACTGTGAGTGTAAAAATTACCTCTCTAAGTCAGAGAAGGCTTGCTGGACCTGTAGAAAGAAACCATTAAATCAGATAATTAGAGTAACTGAATAACATTTCCTATTATGAATTCCATTCTGCCATTCACATTGAAAGAAAAATATCAACAGTATGAATCATAATTGAAAAGGATAGAATTCCAATGATGAAAGTACTAACCTTGACGAGGAACTTGTTGAGAGCAATAAATTCTATGCTTAACCAAAAAAAATGTCAACAAATAGAACAGAAATCGGAAAAGAAAATAAATATAAATTTATCAAATGATGAAAAATTCACCTTCAAAGCTCATGGTGCCATTTCTATCAAAATCATACATCCTGCAAATTTAAATAGGAGACGATTGATCAACAAAAAGGGTTAAAGAAGAGCTAAAAATTGAGATTTTTTTTTAAATTGAAAAGAAACCTGATCATTTGTTGAACGACAGAAAGAGGAAAGTTGAGATTACCCATGACGAAAGCGCTCTGATCGTTATTTTACATTCAAAGGGAATTAAGCGGTTTAATTATTATTTAAAAAAACAAGTTTAAAGGGGGGTTGAAAAAGGAACCTTGAGTTGAGGAGCGGTGATGCTTCCGGTTTTCCCTGAGTCAACTCGGTCGAACCACTCTCTTAGAAGAACGCTATCATCCATTTCTAAACAGAGACGAAGGGCCTCAGATTCCCAATTTCGCAGGTCGGGGTAACCACGTCAACGGGATTTTTACATACGTGGTATTACGTTCTCACTTACGACGTCGTCCCCTAATTTATTGGGTAAACTACATATTTAGCACTTCAACTATCATTTTTATTCCGTTCTGATCATTCAACTATCTTTTTTTTTCAACAATCGTACCCGATATTATTTTTTGTTTCATTTTGGTTACTCATCGTTAAAATTTTAACATAATTGATAATGTGATATTTTTTTTATTTTTCAATGATGATGTGGCATTTATCTTATGGTGACATGTCAGTAACACTGTTATTTTTTAACCATGAATAACCAAAATAAAATCATAACAAAATGTTAGGGATGATTTAATAAAGGCATAATGCCACAATTAGCTTTCAACATTTATCGAAATGGTCATTTTAGTCCTTATTATTTTTTGAGAATTTTGGCCTACCATGTTTTATTTGGAGTAAAAAGGCCTCTCTATGAATGAAAATCATTAGTTAACAAATGATTAACACTCTAAAATAGAAGTCTTTTTACTTTAAAATGAAATATTGAGGGATAAACTGCTCTATAAATAAAGAATAAAGGTCAATGTGAGTATTAGATCAAACGTCTGTCTTTATTCTTTATTTTTAAAGCATTTTATACCTCAACGTTTTATTTTAGGTAAAAATACCTTTGTTTTAGAGTGTTAATCATTTATTAACTAACGATTTTTATTTATAGAGGGATCTTTTGTCCTAACATGAAACGTTGAGTGTCAAAATACTCTAGAAAAAATAAAGATCAAAATGACCATTTTGATAAACCTTAGAAGATAATTTTGATAGTATACCATTAATAAACATATTTTAATATTAATATAAAAATATTAACCTTGTGTTCAAATTTCTAATTATAATTTAATATTTTTAGCATTTTACTATTCTAGACAGTATAATTTAAATTTATTAATCCCAAATTACTATATTTAAGATCTGATTTGGGCCAAGACAATTAGATTGAGCCCATTGAATGGCCTGGATAACGACAACTTTAACCAGAATTCTCCAGGTTCTATCACCCTGCTTCTTCAACTCTCTCTTACTTTCTACATTTCTCTTGGAATTTCCCTGCCATCGTTGTATGTATAAATAAGGCCCATTTGGCCATCAAACATTCAACCAGAACAATTCATCACAGCGAAGTAGTAGTTTACGTAAATCTCTAAAAATAATTTCCTTTCTTGTTTTGTTGGCTAATAAACAATGGCTGCCAAAGTTGAAGGCAAGGCGATTGGGATTGATCTCGGGACCACGTACAGTTGCGTTGGGGTGTGGCAGAACGACCGGGTGGAGATAATTCCCAACGATCAGGGCAACCGCACCACTCCTTCTTACGTAGCGTAAACCGACACCGAGCGGCTCATCGGCGATACTGCCAAGAACCAAGTCGCCATGAACCCTCAAAACACTGTTTTCGACGCCAAACGGCTCATCGGTCGTCGTTTCTCAGGCCCTGCAGTTCAAAGCGACATGACGCATTGGCCTTTCAAGGTCGTTGCTGGACCTGGTGATAAGCCAATGATTGTGGTTACGTACAAAGGTGAAGAGAAACACTTCTCTGCTGAAGAAATTTCTTCAATGGTGTTGACCAAGATGAAGGAGGTTGCCGAGGCTTACTTGGGCCAAACCCTGAAAAATGCTGTTATTAATGTGCCAGCGTATTTCAATGACTCCCGAAGACAGGCTACTAAGGACGCCGGCGCCATTGCTGGCCTTAATGTTCTAAGGATTATCAATGAGCCAACCGCCGCTGCCATTGCTTATGGTCTGGACAAGAAAGCTTCCAAATCCCGCGAGAAGAATGTGCTGATTTTCGATCTCGGAGGGGGTACTTTCGATGTCTCATTGCTGACGATCGAGGAAGGGATCTTTTAAGTTAAGGCCACTGCCGGTGACACTCATCTGGGCGGTGAGGATTTCGACAACAGGCTGGTGAATAATTTCGTCCAGGAGTTCAAGAGGAAACACAAGAAGGATATCAGCGGCAATGCGAGGGCGTTGAGACGGCTGAGGACTGCCTGTGAGAGGGCGAAAAGGACTTTATCATCCATCGCTCAAACAACCATTGAAATTGACTCACTCTTTGAAGGTATTGATTTCTATTCCACCATCACGAGAGCGAGGTTCGAGGAGCTGAACATGGATCTGTTCAGGAAATGTATGGAGCCCGTGGAGAAATGTCTTCGAGACTCCAAGCTCGATAAGAGTCAGGTTAGCGAGGTGGTTCTTGTCGGTGGTTCCACCAGGATTCCCAAAGTTCAGCAACTTCTGCAAGATTTCTTCAACGGCAAGGAGCTTTGCAAGAGCATTAATCCCGACGAGGCAGTCGCTTACGGCGCTGCCGTGCAGGCGGCCATTTTGAGCGGTGAAGGGAATGAGAAGGTCCAAGATTTGCTTCTTCTCGATGTCAAGCCTCTCAGCCTTGGTATCGAGACTGCCGGCGGTGTAATGACAACGCTGATTCCAAGGAACACCACGATTCCTACCAAGAAAGAGCAGATTTTCTCCACATATTCTGATAATCAGCCTGGGGTTTTGATTCAAGTTTACGAAGGTGAAAGGGCGAGAACCAAAGACAACAACTTGCTAGGCAAATTCGAGCTCACCGTCATCCCACCGGCACCGAGAGGTGTTCCCCAGATCAACGTCTGCTTCGACATAGATGCAAATGGAATCTTGAACGTGTCTGCAGAGGTCAAGACAGCAGGAGTGAAGAATCAGATCACAATCACCAATGATAAAGGAAGATTAAGAAAAGAAGAGATTGAAAGAATGGTGCAGGAGGCAGAGAAATATAAAGCAGAGGATGAAGAAGTGAAGAAGAAGGTGGAAGCCAAGAATGCCCTTGAGAACTACGCGTATAATATGAGGAACACCATTAAGGATGATAAGATTGCTGGAAAACTTGACCCATCAGACAAACAGAAGATGGAAAAAGCCATTGATGAGATCATTGAATGGCTTGACAGGAATCAACTGGCAGAAGTTGATGAAATGGAAGACAAGTTGAAGGAATTGGAAGGCATATGCAATCCCATTATTTCCAAGATGTACCAAGGTGGAGGTGGTGCCGGAGACGTGCCCATGGCTGGTGCTGCCAATACCGGAGTCCGCCGGATCTGGTGCAGGTCCCAAGATTGAAGAAGTGGATTAAGTCTTCTTTTGCCAATGAGATATATAATATGTTCCGGTCTGGATATGAAATTTGCTGCTATTTGCGTGTAATTTACTAGCCTACTAGGTATAGCCATAGGTGTGCTTTGATACAAATAAATCCAAACGTTGGAGACGTAAGCTTGGCCAATATATATAATAAAATGATTATTATTTGCCTGGTGTAAAATTTATTTTACCTAATGTACTTATTTTAAGATTTCATATAGTCAATCTTTTAAATTTTAAAAATTAAATAAAATAAATGATATTAAAATAATCAATTAAATAAATTTTATATCAGATATGTATTAAAAAATTGTCTAATGAAGTTTCAAAGACAATTTTTGGTTTTATTTAAAATATTATCCAACACTTCATTTTGGTTAAAAAATGGTATTTTTTTTCTTATTTCAGAATTGAATTAAGAAGTTGTTGAAGTAAAACCCGTGAGTGTTATGCTATCTTATCAAATTTTATCTAACCATAAGTCAAAACAATTAATCATAATTAAAATGAAACTACTTGTGATGCCTGCTATTTCACTTAAGACTAAGAGCAAAGTTTAGATATATTTAATATTTTCATCTGGATAAAAAAAACCATTTGGATAATGTCGTAATCATCTTTCGGTTGAGCCCCGGAATTGGGCTTCGACTTGAAAAATGTGGATGAGTTGAGTTAGAGTCGTCACCGACCACTTTAAAACGAATTTAGTTGGGTCGGACACCATCTTACCTGATCTGCGTTGTACCAGAAACGTGTCGGGTTCGGGAGTCGGTTACAGTCAAGGAAGGATTAACACCCTTGAACCGTCCTTTCGATACCAATTAATTTATCGGTTGTTTTTAATTACGAAAATTAATAATTAAAATTTAAAAATTCGATTTAAATTGTTTACCTTAGATTTGGTTGGAAATCTAAAAAAAATCAAAAAAGTTAAAAGTAATAATAACAATAAATAGAGATTAAATGCATCCAAAAATATGATAATATTAAATAAATAAATAAAATACCAAAATAATAAATCAAAAAGAAAGAGGAAAAAATAAAAAAGGAAAAAATATGAGATATAATAATAATAATAATAATAATAATAATAATAATATAATAATGATAAAAACAAAGAGAGATAAAAAATAAAAAAAAAATATGATGAATCAAACCAAAATAAAATTGGAATAAAAATAAAATGAAATAAAAAATTAAATTTTGAAAAACGAAATAATCATTATGAAAAAAATAACAAATAAAAACATATATATAAATTAATAAAACAGATAATGAAAATTAACATATATATATATATATATGTAATCTAAAAAATATATATACTAAAGTAAAAAAAGAAAATGCATAAAATGTAAAATAAATATTACATGAAAAAATAAAATAAAAAATAATTAAATAAAATGAGTAACAAGGGAAATGTGCGTATAAATAAAGTTAAATAAATAAAATAATAATAATTAAAACGTAAATGTAAGGGATCGAAAAAAAAGATGCTACCTTTTATTTCCTTTTCGAATCGTTTACAATAGTTTTGTCTTTGTATTTTCCGTGCTTTCCATTGTATTTTGTATTTAAATCTTGTGTTACAAATAGGGAGGATTACATGTATTTATAGTGAAAAAAACTAACTATTTTTAGAATCTTATTAACAATAGAATCCTAATGCAACTAGACTCCTTGCTCAGTTGTTGCACGTTTGTTAGTGTGGTTGTTGGTTTAAAAGATATGGTGGTGGAAGAGTCCTCATAGGAGAGAAACTCTTGCTAGTTCTATCTTTTAAGAAAATGT